AACAGAGCTAAGCCACTACATATTTGTCAAACCGTTGCACGCGCATATTTGCTTGATTTGGGATCATTCTGAGTCACTCAGAATGAAATACAACTTCGCTTTGCAGAGGTTGGATACCTTGAACTTCAGTATTACCGGTGAGAAAGTAGAGAAAACATTATCCGGTCTGGTGTTTCTGAATGTTCACAGTAATACCATGTTGTACGATTCGCTTTAAAATAATGTCAAGATGCTGGAAATACAATTCTCCGTCCGGAGGTGTTGTCAACCTGTCATCTATATACGCATGCACGAAGTTGATTCCTCTTAATGCGTCATCGCTGAATGTCTGACAAGTTTGTGCAGCATCCATTAAACCTAAAGGCACGCGCAAAATTCGTAGAATTCAGAGGGTGCGATGATAGCAGCTTAAAGCATGTTGTCTGCAGCTATAATAATTTAGTTATATGCTTTAACCAAATTGGTTGTCCGGAAAACAGTTGTGCCTTTCAAGGCGGTTGTCAGGTCGTGGATGTGTGGCAAACAGTAACAATCGGGTTTGAATTTTGTATGAAATCTCCGATAATCGCCGTTTGGAACCTAATCATCACTGTCCTTTTAAAGTACTATGTGCAAAGGTGATGCCCATCGGCTATTGTATGGCCATGAAAGTTCGAATTTTATTTTACGCTGTGATTCGTTCTTGACCAACCTTGGTTTTTTGAAGCTAGTCGATGACCTCTAGAAAGTACAGGTTAGTGATGCGATGAGTGACATTGGTGGTTACACATGGTGGTTTCGTTCTCGTTTCGTAAAGTTCAGAGCACTTATAGAGAGTCTGTTGAAAGTATGAACCGATCATATTTATAGTCGTAACTACCAGAAAAAGTAACTCCACGATTAGATAACTTTGTATTGACGTCTACTAACCTCCGTTCAATAGGGTCGATGAGTAGATTTGGGTCTTGTTGAATGTCTGCCAATTATTGGGCTTGACACGTCTGTAACAACAAAAATCCGGCGAATGAGTTCGCCTAAACTTGTAATGTTCAACCTTTGATAGGTTTGTCTCTAGCTTGAATATACTTCCTGTGCTAAAGTGTGTCAGTGTCAGTAAGCAAAACTATCTGGAAAGGAAAAGAAAAATGAAACAATTAGTCGATCATTCAGTGAGCACCTAGAATGTACTTGTAATGGCATTGGGACCTAATCACACAATCCTCAAACGTGAACGCAAGAAAACTCGGAAAATAGATATTCGACATTTAACGCGGAGAAAGGCCGAACAAAGGAGACAGCGTGAAGAATTAGTTCAAATCATTGGATAGCATGGCTCGGCCTTGCAAGCATGGTTATTCCTGCGTATCGTACCTCCTTTATTCATATTAAATTTATTGTTCTATCACCATCCTAAATGTGTCTTCCGCCATATATTGATGATTACGATAGGACGAGTCAGTGTAGACAATGCTGTGACTTCCACGTGCGGTTTCATAGATTAGGTAGTCAAATCATGAGAAATCTGCAATTTTAGGATCAGGTCTGTTATTAGAGCAATACTAATAAAGAAGAACACCATAATTCTACATACTTATGTTTATAAACGAAAGCAAACGTCAACCTTCAGAAATGATACGAGAGTGGGATTTAAATAACCTAATAACCGAAGCAACAAGTTGATAGTGCAAGGTTTGGAAGGTATTACAAACACACGTTAAGACAAACATGCATTTCACCGATCGTGGCGATAAGTTTGAAGACGGTCATTTCTGTCCTCATGAAGAACTCCTACTTCTGCTCTAGAGTCAACGAGATAGCGAACTTACGTCATCACGTCAGTGACGCATATCGGGCGATTGTTTTCACCGTCTGCAGTTGTCGTTGACGCGTGCCAGCGAGAAAGTTTCCTCAAAGGTTTTATCGTGGTGGAAGATTCAAAGTTTTAGAGACCACATGGTTTTATTTCATTTTTAGAAGACTGGCCATGAGTGTTTCGATACCGACATTATTTGAGCTAGCTCTCTCCTGGTCTAGAGGTAGATCCATTTTCATGGTAGGCTTCTTTGGGTAGTTGTAGGGTACCACAATTATGATGATCACTAAAGTACCGAAGAAGAGTGTTGAGATGTGTGATGTTATTTTGCATCGCTTGAAGATATTTTTTGACAGAACAAGCCTTGGTGCTAGTGTTCTAGTAATCTTCAGACGCGAGTTGATACATACAGCTAGTTCACCGAAAAAATTGTTGCGAAATGAGTTGGGAATCGCTAGCACCTGTTGGGGAGGCCTAGGTAAGGACAGGTATCAAATAAGGCTCACATAGAAAGTTTGCGTATGTAGCAACATTTCCGATTCTGAGGCATGGTGTGATTCGAAGTTGCTGAAGAGCTCTTCTAACATCTGTCGATCGATCACGTTTCGCCGTTTGAGAATGATCGTTTCCAAAGTGTCATAGGGTTCAAAAACATCAATGACTTACCTCCCTAAATTACTCAGCAGTGCCATTACTACTGCGACAAATTACGAACGTGAGTCTATTGCGCTGTGCACGTAGCAGTCAACTTCTGCTCAACAGAACCAGGTTTCAGGCCAGAAATGTTTTGAGATGAAAGCGCGGCGGTGTAAGCACAGAGATCTTTAACAGTTTGGGTGTCTGTATCGTTATTATGAAGATAAAATATGTAAATGGGCTAAGAAATAATAATAATTTCAGGATATGTAAAAAAATGATACACAATGTTATAACAAAGAACAAACTCACAGTACCAAATTACATCATATTTCATCACTAAAAGTGCCACAGATGTACAGAGTTAAGAACACGTTTGCCACTAACACTTCTGTGGTCAAAGGATATCATACCAGTCATATCGGAAGACAATATCAATGGATTCAAAGGTGTATTTGGGAGGTTTTCGATACGTTAAAATCATTTGATCTAAGCTGACTAGTAGTTTCAAGGGATGAATAGAATAGCATACACGCTCGTGATCTGGTGCGCAAACGTGACCGAAAGCCTTTAGCTGGGATGCGTTCAGTGAGACTAACGAGGTCCACATCAACGATAGAACTATTTATTTTAGGGACTTATTTATGACTACAATTAACAATAAGCAAGACATCCCTGACCCACAAATTATTGATCTCGTAAGTGAACTTCTCTAACCCAAGAGAAAACGAATTTAAAATTATCGGCGAATTAGTAGATACACCATGGTGGCTCCACAGTCCTTTCTGAGAGCCTTCAAAATCTGTCTCAGTGATTACTGAGCGTTCGGAATGTACTAGTAAGTGAAAGTTAAACAACTGGGTATGAACATGTAAACTGCTAAACATCATTTTGAGAAATGGACAAACCACCAAAAAATTAGTTATTCTATTAATAGAAAACTTTATCACTCTCTCTCTTTCGGGTTTTTATTCCACTGAGAAACAAATAACAGCAGCGTCCCAGCAATCTGAATCTTCTGGGAAAACATTATTCATAATTTAAAAATTTCCTCAGAATATTCAGTGAACATTGTAAACAAGTAGTTGAATAAGCTTTACTTGATTTTCGCATAAATCTTAAACTTTCAAATTACATTGAGACACTAATATAAAATAAGTTGCTCGTTTGTATTCCGAATAATCAGACATTGAACATCAAAGTCAGAGCGTTCCGTTTCAATGGTTTTTAAGTTGTCGCTCTATCTGGATTACTAAGACTTTTTTCGGGATAGTACAAATGCATTACGCGTTTCCCTTCTAAACTCACTGTTTTCGTAGTTTTGCTTCACAATCAAATGTCTGTTTTTTGAAACTTTGTGTTGAGAAATGGAATCAATTTATTAATTTTCGAAGGATGGTTTCACTTCATATAAACATAGGTCGAGACAGCCAATAACTATGAACCTAAAGGTTGACGATATGATCACTCTTCATCTTTTATTATTCAACACCATAAATACAGCGACTTTCCAGTTGATATTCTTCTTAACAGATAAACCGTGTCCGCTAGAACATGACAGACTAGTAAATCCTCTAAAGAAATAACGCTTCGTGAAAACGTAGAAAAAGTTCTAGAAGCCATTGTCATAAAGTAAATATGATAAATAAATTTATATGTGGATTAAAACAGATGCTTAACTATGGAAATAATCCACAATGGCAGTGATTTTATTATTATGATACTGGTTTATTATGAAGTGCATAATTTTTTTTCAATTATCATACTGATAATATCCAAACTCACATTGGTTTTTTGATTTAGTCGAGTCATATAACAGGGTTCAGAAAAAGTGGCTAAAAGTTGGTTCAGTCAGTCAGTCAAATGCAATTTAGAACTTGGTGCGCATATACATCAGTTCAAGTTGTCATACTGCATCAACACAGCGATATGAAATCGTCAAAGAAAACTCCAAAGCATTAAATTTCAAATGTAGGCCATGTGTTGATCGTCTCACTTATAGCTGTATATTAAGCTTATTTCACCAAGGGGCAACGGTGCGTTTAGCCGAAAAATTATTATTGGTTGTTGTACGAATATGGTAAACTTTAATTGTCGATTTAAAAATTTCCGGGATTAGATTAATCTCTAGTGACACATTTTGTGAAAAATGGTAATAATCGAAAAAAACTTGTGCCATATGCAAACAATTTTATCACTAGTTTATATGGCTTCTAATGGTACTGATTGACCTTGATAATTTGGATAAGCCTAAAAACAACATTATCAGGGAAAGCCTAATTGTTTACTAGTTGACTTATCATTTTCATAGCGATGATATGCATGACGAAAGTTCATAAAAAGTTCTGGGACTTTCCAGGGAATTTCGTGATCATATTTGATACAGGATGATTTTCAGATGAACATGAAATTAAACCAATGTTCATCTCGGGATTTAGATATGCACTTATTGTAGTACTATTCATATGGTCTTTAATAGTAATAAGCCACCCTTATAAATTGTGTAGTCATTTCTGTTCTTTTTTAACATAGAATGTCTTCCGAATATTTAATATTATTTTTTTTCTGTTATAGATGTGTGTCATTAATTACTCATAGTTTTATTCAGAATATAAAGATGCTATGAATTCCACTTTACACTCTGCGGACTCCAGTGTTATCCAAATCAGTTTATTTGGTCGTTATACCAGGGCCGGGGATCCAACTAGCCTATGGTGTGATGAATCTTTGGAAAACCCAGACTCTATGTTGGATCAATGCAAATGCTACACAAGTACTCCAAGTTCTTTTTCTACTACTTCAGAGAGCACATCTTATTCGCGTGATCTTTATGTTACATCTAGACTACGAAGTCGGTCTGAAGAGAAAAACTGTAAATCGGAACAACCCTTTTATCTATCTCATTCCGTAATCAATTATTTAAAATTGGACAAATTATCTAACAAAATGTGTCCTGGTTGTGTTCCTTGTTCTTCTTCTGATGATAAACTACGATCAAGTATGTACTCCGAAGAAAAAGACGATTTGAATGTCACCCAAAAGGACTTCCAACAGGTAGGCATTAGATAGAATATAAATTGTCGATGATATTTTTCACTTATCGTGCCTTTTTTATATGCATCTGGCCGGATGTCTTAGTTTTAGCGTCCAGAAAATGTAATGTTCTCTAGACTTCAGGTAAAATATCAAACAAAAAGACGAGCCTTGCAGGAGTATTTTATAACTGGACTTGGAATGTAATATATATATTCATCAACTGGTTTCAACAGAATTGCTTCTTACATGTGCTTCCGTTTGTAACTTTAAACAACGACAAAGACAATAAGACTGATGAGATTAAATTAATTCATTCTCCTTCAAGATTTCTCATGAGATACAAACAGCATAAAATTACGTTAAGTAATGTTATTTGGTACGAATGTTTTACATAATTTGGTTGGTGAATTAGGTATTTTAGACAAAACTTTACGAAAAGAAGGGAAACGCACAGTTTAGTGATAAACAGTTACGATTACGCGTCTTTATATACTGAGAAAAAGCTAGTCACGAAAATTATTAGATGGGTTATGGTTACTAGTTACTATAATACAAAGTTTTGGTTCATCTTGTGAATGAATTGGCTTAGAAATTATAATTCACATCGTTGCAATGTTCCATAGTCTTTGCTTTTCACTCTTTAAGGGTGACAAATTCAAGCGCAAAGGAAACCAGTCGTTTAAATCAAGTTCGTCAGTCTGGTATAGCGATGATTCCGACCCAGTCCCTCCAGCGATGGCTCTCATAAATGTAAATCGACTTCATGCCCAAACCTTGCATCCAGCTACATTAAATGAGAACAGAATAATTGCAACAAATAACATTTTATATGATTTCAACACTGAGTTTGATGTCTCTGGATCAAAAATATCAAAAACATTTTTGAACGCTTCAAGAAAATCTCTTCCAGCAATCCATCTTGATCGTGATTTAGAAGTAAGCGGCAGTAGCGGTACCAGTAGTCTTTCTTATACGGCTGTGATTGGTAACGAGGCGGAATATATTCAGCCGGATAAACGCTTAGAGCCATTCTCTGATGAATCTAACAAGCACCACTTAAATTCTCTGCATTTCGGGCAAACCGGTGCATCCGCGAGAGATTCTGGCTTAAGTTCACATTCAAGCAATTCTGTAAATTATTCCCCTAACTATCTTCTGCTCCCTCATAAAGGATTGGTTCCTGAGTGTAAACCTAGTCTCTCTTCGACACCTCCACCAGTTCCATGTCACGCCCCTCAATCACAAACCATGGTTGCACTTACACAAAGGAACGGAAATAGTAAGATATTTAATTTCGTTTAATAAAAAATGAAGTGGATTTTACTTATTTTTATCATCTTTCACAATATCTTTATACGGAAAGATGGATAAAGGCTAGCAGTGGGATCCAGGGCGCTCGTTCCGTTCTATTTGGGACTCGTCAGCCGGATATACCTGCATCTCAGAGTTGATGTACATTCTGGGACTCAAACCCAGCACCGTTCACCTCAAACGCCATCGCGTTATCCACTTAGCTACTGAGTCCTAATAGCTACTTGCTTACTTGCTAGCCACTATCCATCTTTGCTTATAATAGTTGTGAATTAAGAAAATATCGAGGTAATAAGCACAGTATGTTCATATGCCAACAACAGACTGATCAGTTGCAGTTCTAAAGATCAACGGGAAGATTCAAGTAAACAATACCAAGTGAATATCATAATATCTTTGTTTGGAACGAACTCATTATAGTATATTCCGAGCATTTGCATCATATATGAAATGATTCTGAAGAGTTTTCGTCAACCGTTTGGGATATTTGAATAAATCAAACTCTGATTAGCTATTAAAAAACCACTAAACTTTCACGAATTGATTGATTGGGGGTCAACTAATCAGAAAAACGCCAGTAAATGAAGTTGAAAATAAATGTTTGAATCATTTTGACAACTGCTGTATCATACCCATATTCATTTTTATTCAATTGAATGCTGCACAACAATGATATAGGTCTAATATCCATTAGCGATATATTTCAGCAGTTTGTCAGGGAAGTTAAGGTGGTAGAAAAACCCTATTTTAATCCCATTGACTCATTTTAATAAGGATGTGAATCACTCAAGCAACCTCAGAACTTCTGTATTACCATTCCCAATATCCTCTGAAGTAGTTTTTTCAAGAACTCGAGATATTTAGTTTGTTTTCCTTTATAGCATTTATGATTTTTAGTTAAATAAAGTACGCTGAAGAACTCTTACTTTTTATTATTTTAACTTAATCAAAAATCTCATAACTGTCAACCTGAGCTGTACTGTATTGTCGATGTGTTGATAAGAAGCACAGTGCTGTATTGGCTGATAGCAGGTTAAGAATTCCTATGATTTAGAAATTGTGTAAATACTTTTCGGCTTACGAAATGAAACCCTTACATAGTTATATGTTACCACACGGAGCGGTGGCCTAGTGCTTACGGTATTCGTCATTCAGCCACTAAAATCCAGGTTCCAATCTTGTTCCACCTACTTGGGTTTGAGCAACCGAGTTATATCATTAGCCCTTACACTAAGAGTGCGGGTAATCCCCAAGTACTTATTGAGTGAATTAATTTATCCATAACTTATTTCATTTTTGTTACCAATAGTCAGTTTTTTAGCATCTTATTTTTATACTGGCTTAATACGTTTTCTTTGCTAAAGGGTTGCAATTCGTATTTACTCTTAGCTACAACTCACTAATGAACAGAGATGAAACATTTCCATAGTTCTCTTAATGTCATATGTTCTGTTGTACACTTAAGCAATAATTTAAACATGACTGATCAAAGATAGAATAGGTAAGAAACGCGTAACTTCAGAACTGACTGATAACGACTTTAATGTTCAACTAACATCACACTTAATATTTTGAAATCACTTGTTACATTATACCATTTTGCACTCTGTTTAAAAATATCATTTTTTAAATACATGTTTTGTTTTGTATTAATTTTTTAATGAATAAACTTGTTACATTCAAGATATTTTAAATACAACCAATTTAGTACGTTGTGAAACTGACCTTACCAAGTGTACATGCTCCAAAAGTTCAAGCAGTAAAATGGTAGAAGGAAGAATTCGTGGAACAACTATCCGATTGCATTCATATACGGGAGAATCTAAAACTCTCTTAAAGGTAAGTACATAAACGTGACACACATTGTCTTTAACTGAGTATCAATTTATTTCATTACGGCTCTATATTATCCTCACATCAATTTACTGTAATTCTCTTACGGTACATTTGATAAGACTTGCCTTATGGTAATCAATAGATTGCTATTAGTAACAGGAGCAACAATAAAGTGTTAGTTTGCAAACCAACTATGCTCAGTTTTTTGTAGACATTCGATAAAATTTAGCTAACGATAGACACAATCTTTGGATTAAAACAGTTGTTTTCCTCATACATTGAGTATATGTTCAGTGACCTCTAATTTATGAACATAGTGATAGTTAGGTCAATGTTTTCATACTTTACTCCCAGGATTTTTGTAACCTAGTCTAACGAGAAATTAGTCAATATCATTCTTGCTAAATATGCATAGACTTTAATTTTAGGAATTGGTTACAGATTATTTGACATGTTTTTGATATTGAAATCTACGCTTAATAATATTTCTGATTAGGAAGAGAGTTCCAATCATTATTAGACCTGCGAAATCTTAATTTTCCATCATTGGTCTAGTATATTTGTATTCGATTTCAGACTGGATTATGATTTCATTTAGTCATTCCATTAGTCACATGTGCATACAGTATACACATGCATCAGTTCATATTGCCATGAATATATCAGTATAATAAGTTGAAATTATCACGATAAACGCTAGAGTAGTATAAATAGTAATATTAGTAGTATCTACAGAATATTCAAAACGAACATGATAAAAATTTATTGATAATAGTAACGGTAATTATTATACACTTTAAAAATAGTTACAAAATTCACACTTATTCCCAGACATGATTAAATCAATACGAAAAAGAATGTAATGCCAAAAAACGAGGACACACTATTTAAAAAAGCGTGATTCATATTTTATTTCAATTGAGCATTTGTCTCAAAGATTTTAATCATGTAAAGCAGAAGGAATACATGATCATAGATGATAAAATTTTTGAGTACTGAGTTGTTATCAGAACTCCAGTAATAATGATCAGTTTTTTAAGTTCAGAGTTATCTTTAGTAAGTAGTGTAAGATTAACATAAGCACATTAGGTAAATGGCATAATTACAGTGTCATGCGCGTTTTGAAATTATAAATAGTGTGTAGGATGCAGCGGTTAAGAACTAGTATTTTCTTGATAGGAGAGCAGACAAATCTTGTTTACGTATGAATAATGTAGCGAAGAGGGAACTGTGTTCTATTTTTCATGATACTTATAATAATCTACAGCTAAACGAGGAAAACAAAAACACAGAGCACGGAAAAACAACAAAAATTAGTCAAGTTTGATTAATTCACGGACTGTTCGTTTCGATAGATTTAGTTGTACCCATAATATAAGCTTTTAATAAAATCGTTGTATCATATGTAACTAAACAGGGAAGTTTACTAAGTATACTCAATGAAAACGGTAATGATGCACTTACAAATATTCCCATTCAACAGCTAATTTTAAGTGATGCTCTAACTAATGATATCATTTTTTTCGAGGAAAACTGCATTGAACTTTAAAACCTGTTTTCGATAACATAAATAAATGGGGATAAGTAAAACTAATAAGTAACCATTTTATTATTTTTTTCCTTTAAATATTTTAGTCATATTTCCCAAGTGAAAACAAACAGATTAAACATAATCCTAATTCATCTTTATCACCTATATGGAAACGTAAATCAAATACATTACAATCAATGATTAAGGATAAAATTCACCTCGTTGAAGAACAAAACTATTCAAAATCAATCCAAATAACTAAATCCAAAGAAGGTGGTTGTAGCAAAAGAGAAGATAAAGATGATGATGAAGTAGAAAGGAAAGGGAAACATTTAATCAATAAAGTTCAATATGAAAATACTACTACAGCTACTACTAAGAATGATAATAATCATGACAGAGTACATAATTCCTGTCTACTTTTAAATGATTCAATTAAACAACAAGATATTTGTACGGCCTGTACACTAAATTGGCAATTTTATTTATCCCAACCTTGTTGTTATACATTTATAGATGATATGGTTAAATGTTATCATGATGTGAATAATTCTTGGTATTTTGTGGAACATGATTGTTTTCTAAATTCTATTATTCAATTGTTTAAACCTGATAGTTGTTTCAATTGTCGTAAACATATTTATGCTGTAGGCGTAAATTTATTTAATAGGTAAGTTCGTAAGAATAATAATTTGGTACAAACTCATTAACAAACTGTGTTCCAATAATTTTAATTTCAATCCAGATAGAAATAAAATTCTGAATTTTTCAATGATTGTAGAGACAGAAAAAAACTTTTAATTTGGATGTGCAGTTGATTAGCATTCATTAGAATTCTGAACCTTTTATTTCATTCGTCATACTGATATTATTATTAGTAAGGATTGTAATTAGACTGCAGCTGATATCAAAGACTGGAATTTGATCAGTCTTTGTTGAAATATGCTCATGCTGTGCGAATTACCTCAATAGAACCATTTTGTAACAAGTTTAACAGAATAGATAGATTTTGGTTAGAAGTAAAATCCAGGACGTGTGTTTTCTTCCCTTTGTAACTCATCCCAATATTAATATTCACATTGAAACTCTTACTCACGATCTTAAATTTCAGAAACCAACACGTTATCCCCTGAGGTACTGAGTACAGATAGCTACTAACCTGTTTACCGGGCATAACGTTATTGTTAGTAAAGATTTGAGCATTCCGTGGTAGATATATGGCATTGAAATCTGACCAGTCTCCTCATTGGATGTGCCTACATAAAAAAAGATGTCAACATTAAAAGGCAGGTATATCTGACTGACGAGCACGGAATAGGATAAATTATGCGTCTTAAACTTCCATTCTGGTCACAACTAATCTGCTCTGCAAAACATTATCATATTACTATTTCATTTTATCAATGGTCCAGTTTTCTCCGCCAATTTGCTTTCCAAAGGGATGAATAGATGCTTGATTGTTTATTAAATTCCTATTCATTAGTGATCTATCAAAACATCTAATTTACTTATATTGCTTCCATATGATAAGCCATCATATTTTTAAGATAATTTTGTAAAAAATGTTTCATATCGTTTTCGTCACCACTACTGTCATGAACATGTCATTTAACTTTATGAAAAAATAAGCTGTTTGAGATTTCCTCCAAAACGTAGATCTATTTTGCACTGACATATGATTACACGCCTCGTTTACAATAATATGCACTTGAGTTGCTGTGGACTTCTGTAGTTCAAATAAAATTTAAAACAGCAGACATTACTTACCAAGTAATGACTAACTCGTTTAACTCATTGAAGGTTGATCATCTACTCTTAAGTATAAAGTGTTTATAAATCAGTTATCTAGTAATTAAAAATCCAAACGATTTAAACATTGTTTCCGTTTCATAGTTTTTTCACTAAGTTATTTTCTGATTATTTGAGCCCTTCATCGATTGATTGGATCGGTGCTAAACTGTTTTACAGGTCTGATAAATATTTGACTACTCTAGAAGCCTTCTAGCATAAGATTATAGCATTTCTTCCACTCATATCTACGTATGGCGTCGTGCCAAAGAGCATAGATTTGATGTCTGCAAGGAGAGGTGTTAACTTTGATAGACGTATCGCTTATCGGTTTTTGTTATGGTCTCTTTCGACGTACATAATATGAACCCAGGCTATTTTGTTTTTTGGCTGACTTCAACCTTGACTTTTCTGCACTCTTGATCGTTAGTTATTCATTTATACTTCTCAAATGTAGTTGTGTTAATGTTTGGTTGCAAACAATGAATTATTCAAGTCGCGAAATTATAACTTTTCTTGTCCTAAATTTAGAGAGTCCTTTCCAAACTGTTTCACAGATTAATTTCACGTTATACATATATATGTTATTTCTTTCTGTAGAAATCCATTGAAAGGTCTAAAATATTTGGCAAGACATAATTTCTTAAACTTGTCTTCTAGTAAACAAATTTCCAAATTTATTCAAAATAATGCTGACTTATGTCGTTCGAAAATTGGAGCATTTCTTGGTCTACCTCCTACAGATGAGATCAACCCAACGGAAGTTACAATGTAAGTTCTTCAAATTTTGATGCCAAGTTTTTATTGTACTCAAGCATTATAAGAGCTAGTGAATAAATATTTTAATCAAACATTAGCACTTCATTAACAACTCTTATTTACCAATAAATTCTTGGTCAGTTTTATTCAAGAAAATTTAATTAGAATGACCTTGATTAATCAGCTTCAGTAATAAAAGTTAAAAACTAGTAAGGGAGAATGCGTTCGTAGTGTCCTACTAAACAGGGTATTTTGTCAGTATTGAATATAATGGCTGTAGTGCAGTTATCGCAACTTATAATTGGAGTGACATGGCTGGTACTGTACTGGTACCTACTACTTAACTTCCTTTGGATATTGAACCTTAAAATTATATCTTATTTTTTTTCTCATGAACTCATTCTTTCTTCTCGATTCATAGAATCTATACTTTGTCTATTCTACTACTCTTGATACTTTTACTGCTTACATCACTGTAACATTCTCGATGCATTTACCCAACTATGCTGATATATATATGATTTCACGTTGCTTATGACTGACTGATTGATTAAATAAATGAACAATGTGTCATTGTTATTAGTCTTTTGTTTTATTTTTTGAATGCCGAACAAGTGATCAAATTCGTATTCCCCATTAGTTGATACTTTTTGAAGTAACTTTGTAGAACTGGTTTTATAAGTCTCCTGGATTCCCGATAGTTTTGTTGATTTTTGGTGTTAGATTGAAATTAGGTAGCTAAACTGTAGCTTAGGTAGACAGTGTTTCGACAAAACGAAACTAGATCTAACTGATAGGTTTATTGCGTAATTGCAATGAACTTAACTGCTTAATAAATAACCTATTTACCAGACACTAACAGAAATATGATCAATAACTTATAGAACCTTTGGCAGTTGACATTTTTCATCCTCAAGTAATTTGATAAAAGTGAGGTTAGACGCAGAGTATTATTGGACGAAGGTAAATCAGCCGATGAGGTCGTGAATTTACATCAAATCAGATGTTTGGGTCAGGTCATACAAATTCACCTTGACCATGAATAATTTGACATTGACATATTCAGACCTATTATGATTTTGACTGTACTAAAAATATTCTGCATTGTTTCGTTTGTACTATTTAAACTTGTGTTAATTTATTTCGGTTGTTTATTTACTCTGAAGAAGTACCTTACATTCAATCACGAAATGTCAGGAATACAATTCTTCTACTCATTTAGATATAACAAAAAATATATTTATTATTAAAAAAAAACTGATTTCAATGTAATTAGAATTATAATCAAGATAAAAAAATTTCTGAATGTAATATATATATATTCTGAAAATAATTATGTAATAAGGACCAGCTTACTTTTATGATTAGAAAAGTAATAGAAATATTTTTTAAAGTGCACTGTAAATGAAGTTTTATGATTAGTAAACTTTTAGTTGTTATCAGAGTATACACCGTATTAGTCATTAGTTTTATAAGTACGGGGTAGTTATTTTAGTTGGTAATGTAAGAATAATATATCTGCACTAAGAAACTGATAGATGTTGTATAGGACTCGGAATTTAATAATATGTATTTTCTTAAAGACAGGAGTATAATGTTTGTTAAGTTACATGTTGGTATCATCAAAATGTAGCTGGCAAATTTTTATACACCTCAGATTAACAGATTATCCTTTTCTCAATCCATCCACTTGTATTGTTGTATCATGAAGTGATATTTAACACTTACACTTATGATCCACTTGAAAATTTGTAGTTAAACAAACATCTGTTAATACTTACATTTTATTACCCTTCATATCTAAAAATAAGGTGTTTATAGTATACTCAAATATAATTTAACTTATAAGTACTGACTTCAATATGTTATAATTATTGACTGTAAGAAACGATGTGTTATAATGTTCATTTATCTGCATCTACTACCTTTGGCGTATAAATATTAAGCTAAACGTTACTGTGCAATCTAATAATGATTAATTAACGGCACTCAAAAAACATAATAATCGAAACTTCTGATTTATTATGAGTAATCTGTCAACAACAATTACAGTTTTGATTAAATCGTAGTTATATTACTAAAACGGAAAGTATTAAATCAAACTATTCATCTGACCGTCTGATTTGGTTCATTGCTTCTATTAAACTTTATAGATTACTCGAAATTTTACGTCTAGAATTGTCTAGAATTTTGTTGGTAATATCATTTTGTAACTACCTTTTTAACGCCAATTTCAAATCTTCGAGTATAATTGGGAAAAAATTATTAATATTTAATTCACGTAAAACCTGGAACAAAAGATAGCATGAGCCACAGGAAAAATATATGCATGTTAGCTGGGATAAATATTTGAGCCCTCGAACTGAAAAAAGTTATTTTCTTAAGGGCCATTTCCAGAGTCATCGGCCTTGAGTTCTGATCTACAAGACAGTAGAGCAATGTTCGTGGATGCTGTCATGTGGTACCCGGTGATCGAGATGAATTCATGTGCCATTCGGTCTCTCAGGATTTCGGACATCATTCACATCATTAGTTTGAAATCAGAGCTTACCAACCTCGTATCTATCAACCTGCTTTAAGTGCCAGGTTCTCATTTTTTCCTCTCATTTTTATATACAACTTGACACGTAAATACATTGAATAGGACTTCCCTTGCAAAAGCAGTGGGTATATGGCTATACAAAAGTATTTCTAGAAGGAAAGCGGACTCTCTTTACTCTTAGCCGTACCATGGCATTCGGAAGCTTATTCCATGTGTGTGCTCTTTTAATAAGTCGATTCAATCAACTATTGATTATTTTATCTGACAAGTATATGTGTGACCAGATCGTTCGAAATGCATAACTCAAATACACCACATTTTTCATATAAACTCCGTCTTCTCATTGTTCTATCGAGATTATTTTATCATTTTCATCCTTAGGTTTTTTAATTTTAATCACAAAATTCTCTACGCTTATTCCTCTTTGTTCTCTTTCTCATTTTCTAAAGCACAAAGTATCCTATTGACCTTTATATATATAAACTGTATAATGAATAGAAGGCTAGGGGTTGGTCGGATTACTAGTTGGATTTTCTTTGTTGTTGAAAAGATGACGTTTAATGTTGGCGACTGATTCACTTTTCTTTTGATTCTATCCTTTATTTACCTCTAAAATAATAGTAACGTTTAAGTCAGTTTAAACTGAGTTGAATGTGCTTATATATATATATAACAGAAACCATACAATTTTAAGGGCATTACCGACCCAACTAAATAATTCTCATAGGTAAGAAAAGCAAAGAGTAATACACTAATATCCACTGACTATCTTATTTTACCCCATTTTTATCGTTTGTTTATTACTCATAGTGGAATTGTTACCTTTCAATATGTAGTGTTTATGTTACATTGAATAATTTTGTTGTTTTTGATGGATGGGACATTTTTATCTCTGTTTTTCTTTTCTAAGGGACTTCTTTAATTTTGAGCATCATGTAAGGTTGTTATACAATGAAAATGCGTAAATCCTGCATACCTTTTTCTAGAATTGTATTTAATGATTCCTTAATTGTTGTCTTTTAAATTGTCTTTCGTTTTCTGTAATTATGGGAGGAAAATCGCATTTAATTTCACTATTTTCATCTGAGGGATTTCAACAAACCCAAATATCAAAACATTTTTGTCTGTTAGTATATAAGGGATATTAGCTGAGTTCTTTGATTCTATTGCATTCACTTTAGGTTTGTTGGTCAATAAATGAAATAATGAATAATCTGAGAACAGCAAATGGTTTTTGAAGTGATATTTATTCACATGTAATATAACCAGCTTTCACATAGGCAGTCTGTGTATGAAACCCGTTTTAAAGGAACCGGAATATGCTAAATAATTTGATCATTACAAATTGACCAATGCGAATTAGTTCAGGTAATTTGATAATTGAAATTTTAATAAATAGTCAGCGTTATTATCTAGTCCCAAGACTAAATTTATACTGCTAGTGATTATTAGTGTTGTTATCGGGATATAGATGGGATTAAGGCATGTTCCGTGCAGGATTGTGTTAGAGCACGTTGATTAAGTCAGCTGCAACTTAGAACCTGGCACATTTATGCATTAGTCCAAGTTTCCATACCTCATTAGCACAACACGATGCACAACAAGTTCATAGAAGTAGTTACTTCCATGGTAGTAAAAAAACATTTCATATTAGGATATGATGCAGGGAGAAAGAGTTAGTTCGTAGAAATAAAGATACAAAGTAATTTTAATCTCACAGTTTAGGGGAAAACAAAGAATATGTACACTTACGCCATTGTGATCGATTTTAAGCGATGTCACCCAACCATTGGTTAAGACAGTTGCACAGACACCAATCAAGTAGTTTGCATCTACCAATATGAATGACTTTATGGACTGGGCATGCTGGTTGGCTATTTTTATCCAATCAGCGCTAACGGATACTTGGGGATGACTCTAGAATCTACTTATGTAAAAACTATAAACATACTAACGTTTCTCTTATTGTGATTTCTACTTTTATCCTACCATTTTATTTGGAATATAGTGACGTTCCTGTCCAATTGTGTTTGATTTGGGGACTTCTCAAGTGAATTAGTGTCCAAGAATACTAAGCAATAAGAGTAGATGGGTCATAATAAAATAAATTATAACTAATGTCCGATGTTACTAGAATGTGATCACTTATTTTAATCATTAGTGTGTACTGCTCTTCCGTACCGTGAATAAATATTTTAACAATTTCATTAGTGGAAATTTCTACTTGGTAAGTAGAATATCAAAGTGATTTTACTTGCATAATGTTAAAACTAATCTACCCTTAGAATAATCAATATTATTATATAGGACTTCTTAGCTTCTCAATAGTTGTACTTCAGTTACAAAATCCACAACCCGATTTTGTTGTTTCTCGTCATCAAACTGAATTTTCATAGAATAATTAGTTACATATTTTCAGAGAATGTTTGTCAGTGTATCCGGCGTATACAGTCTACCTACAGGACAAAAT